TTTTTTTTTTTTTTTTTTGGTACTGGGGATCAAACTCAGGACCTTGTGCTTGCAAGGCAGGCAGTGGCACCACTGAGCTAAATACCTGGCTCATCAGCACTGTTCATTTCATTCACTGATTTTTAGTTTGAAATTTCTTTAAGGTAGGAAGTTTTTACATAGTATTGTCTCTTCAGATGCTATTGTGTATTTTATTATTGGTTTAGTTGCTATTTGTCTTGCCTAGTCTGTATTCCATTAGATTTTATTAGGACTCCTGTCCTGTGTTTTCTCTTGTTCCTCCTGTTCTGGAAGCTGGGTCCCCATAGGTGTTTTGTTATTTTCATCTATCTGCTCTTTGGGGCTTTGGAGTAGACTAAGTAGCAGCAGTCCATGAATTGCCTAGAGCACAATTGTCTCCAACCCCCACAGGCCCACAGTGTAAGCAAAATGGCTCCCTGTCTGCTATTAAAATACCAGTATGGAGACAACCAGCTCCCCAGTTCCCTGAAGCCCTCCCAGCCCCAGGAGGATTCTGAACTTAGTCGCTTATTCATCTCCTTTTCAGTTCAAGGGCCCAGGAGACCAGATTCACTCAAACAGGTTGATCTCATTCTTCTTTTAGAGTTGTTCAGATCTCTGCAGCCCAGCTTCTCCATGGAATCTAATAAACTCCCATATCAGTCTCCAAATGACACCCAGGCCCTAGGAGTGAAAACACAGTATTACTTCTTGTTACAACGCTAATAGGACTAGCTTTCTTGGACTCTGAAGTCCTCTTCTGTCCATGGTCATCAATGTTAGGAGTGGTAAGGGCTTCACCAGTCTCCCAGAATCCCCCAAAGTTTCCATTTGTGGTAATATAACTAGTAGTCCTTTTAGAGTAAGAAATAAGGTTTATTTATCAAAAACTCTCTTTGAGCCCAGTTTCTTCATTTTTAGAAAAGAGACAATACTATCTGTTGTGCAGAATAGAGAAATGCCACCTACTATAAGGGTTAGATTAGATGATCTGTGCTACATTACTTGCATTATGCTGAGCCTGTGGAGATCAGCCAGTAATTATTTATGCTTTCCCTACCTTAAGTGACTACACAGTGTTTATTATGTAGTGACAACTACATAATCATGGACTGAGGGATTGTAAATATTAAATCCCAAAGAAAATGTGAACAAAAGTGAAAAGCAAAATATGTGATGGTAAATAATACTTTGTTCTTTTATAAATTTAATACTTTAATTGTCAACAGTGCCATAAGAGCATCTTAGGTTGTTACATAAATAACATCATATATTGCAGGAATTTTTCAAATTTTTCCACAGTTAAAACTTCAAAAGAGGTCATAATAATCATGTTTTGGAAACATCTTGATGTTGCTGCAGAATAAAATTGCATGATCATGGCTGTGAAATAAATGAAACCATCATGCAAATTTCCATATATGATTCAGTAGCTCATGATAGTCCTTCAAAATAAAAAAGGCAAACCACACAAGAGGGATGTTTTGAAAACAGGAATATATAATATTTTTCAAGATTTCCATTGTCTATCAACCTATTCATCTCTTCACATATCCAATTAATCAGGAAAATAGTCACTTCATGGAAACCTGTTTATCTGCTTAATGGCCATAGGAAGGCAAAGTATTAATGCAAAAAAAATGGCTTAAGTATTATTTTCCCTTAAATGGAAGAGAAAAATGACTCTCAAAATTTCTCTGGACCTGTGAACTCAATATCTCCTGCAATTATTTTATTCCTATTTTTTCTTGTGTAATAAGGGCACTAGACAGGCAGCCTATTCACTGTTCTGTTAAGTAAACAGTGCCAATCAAATGGAGTGAACAGCTATTTGACGCAGAACCAGGAGGAGAAACCGAAGGAAGGGTGCAATACAAGAAAATAACCATGCAGCATGGTTTCCCAGTGCTCCTGTGAAAAGGGATGTGTAGGGAGGGCACAGGTTGGTTCTTGGTAGGGTTGGGGTGCAGGTAACCCCCATTAGGACATTAGGATGATACCCATTTTCCTATCTCATTCCAATTGCCTCTTGCATTTTCCTTCACTTCCTTTCACGCAGCAGTATTTTACTGAGTGTGTGCCTAATGTGCCAGGTATTATTCTAGGTGTGGTGCATATTAGAGACTCGATAAATATTGAAAAAAGGCATAAATGAGTGAGTAAATGAATTAAAACCTTTCACGATCAGAAAAGGTATCACAGGAAGAAAAAAAAAGAACATTTGAACTGAAACCTGATAAATGGGTGCATTTTCTAGAAATGCAGGAGGAAAGGGTCCTAGAAAGAATGGAAAATGGCTACAAATTCAGAGGACAGAGAGAACAGCAAAGTTTGGAGAGCTATGCGTAATTTAATGCCTGGAAGTTAATCCAAACTGTTAGAAGGGTGGAGCCTAACAACTGAGGCTAGACTGTTCTCAGGAGACATCATTGGGATCCTTGAGGACCAGAGGAAGAATTTTAAGTTTTGTCTTGAAGGTCAGGGTCAGCTCATAAAGAATGTGACTAGAGAAGTGAAGACTGGTTAAATATCTCTCCAGTCCTTCGATGGAGGAAAGTCTTGGAAAAGAGGAGTCAAGAAGCAGAGAGAAGCAACAAAATGCTCCTGCCAAGTCCCTGGAACTAGTGATAGGACTCTGGACTTGGCTCGTGGAAATAAGGATGGAATGTAGAGGAGATGCTTGGGATATTCGTGGGAAAGAATTAATAAATTTGATGGGATATGAAGGATAAAAAAAGGACAAAGAAAAACTTAGACTTGCCCCAAATGCAGGCTTTCTTGTTTTTGCAATACATCAATGAAGACTAAAAGAAAATGCATCTTAAACAGATTACTCTGCTACAAGACTTGAAATGGCTTGGCGTGGGGCCAAAGGGGGCTGAGAGAATAGAAGGCTGGTAACAGAGCATTTTCTGTGAGTGTAGCGCTTCTCTAGGCACCCACTGCAGGTTTGTAAATGCATTCAAGCTTCACGGAAGTTGGCAGATTGATTCTTCTTGGCAGTCAAGGGGAATCTGAGCAGAGCTGCAGCATCACAGAGCCGCTTTCTCTACCCCCTTCCCAAGATCTCTGTGGCTACAGTGAAGAGAGAACTTCCTCCGAGGTCCCCTCAACCCAGACTTACCTACACTTTTCTAGGGTAATGTGGATTTTTCCCATAGAATGAGTTTAGCTGAGTTGCTAATTTTTTTAAATTCTTTTAACACATAGAGAAGCATAAAAGGTTGATTCTATCCAAGATAAAGTCCCCACCAAGCAGACATGAGTCCCTTTCATACAATACTCATCTGTAACAGAAGTTGGAAGATCTTTGTGGCAGGGTTGTTTCCTAAGTTTCTCCTACAGAATGTTATGGCTGCTCTGCAGCCCACTTCACCCCATTTTCTAGGCTGATTTTGTTCAGCACATTGAGCTCCATCCCCAGCCATCCCACCCCATTTTTGAGTCAGGGTCTCACTAAGTTGCTACATTCTCCAGGATAGGCTCAGACTATCCTCCTACCTCAATCACCCAGAATGCTGAGATTACAGGCATAATACCACCATGCCAGCTCTAGGGTGATTCTTAATTCTGTCTCAAGGTATTTACATGAGAAATGACTGGACAAACAGTAAAGTGTTGCACTATCACTAAAAATGAGATGTTGGTGAGAGATCACTGTATTTCTCTGTTACTTTAAAAATAATCCAGGTATAATAGACTTCTTTTGTTTTGTTTAACCAATATCTATGATTTTCCTCTTGTAAAAAAAAATCTCCCTTGCTTTCCCAGCCATGGTGTTTGAGCAGGACTAACTGCAGTCCTCAGGTTTAAGAGGAATTTCAGCTGGGTACAGTGGTAGACACCTGTAACCTCAGCTACTAGCTAGGTTGAGAAAGGAGGATCTTAAATTTGAGGTCAGCCTGGGTAACTTACTGAATCCCTGTCTTAAAATAAAAAGTAAAATGGGCTAGTGACAGGCTAGTGACAGGCCCCGTCCAATCAGACCCACTACCTGCATCCACAGGAGCACAGAGATAACAAGACAGATGCCAGCAGCTGCCCTGCTGCTCTCACCATTCCCCTGTTTATCAGCCAGCCACAGACCCATCACCCATGGGAACTCTAAAATTTTCCACCCTCTTGACCAGTGCCCCCTCAACTACATAAAATGCCCTATATTAACCACGGGCACCCTCCTCTCAGTGCCAATGGCCTTCTCACCCTTGGCCCATCTGCACCCAGATGGCAATAAACTCATCGCATGTTGCTTAGACTTTGCCTGCCTCAGTGTTCTAGTTGTGTCTCAGTCTGACCTTACAGCTAGAATGTAGCTTAGTGGTAGAGTGCCTCCAGGTTTGATCCCCAGTGGTGGAAAAAGAAAAAGACAAATTTGAAACTGAAATTTGCCCAAGATGTACCCTTAGAGCAATAAGTGGAATACAATTGATCTATTCTATTTAAATTACCAAACCTGAGTGGTCATTCAGAGCACTCAATTTCATTCAACCTTGGCAATTTTACTCAGAGTTCGGTACCTGACCCAAAAGGAGCCAATGGTAGTCATTCCAAGAGCTCTGACCAAAGTGTAGGGACAAAAGCACATTTATTGCTATGTTACTAAAATAAATACAAAACATGTTCCATCTTTGCCCCATTTTATTATTGCCTGCCTGAAACTTAAGGTAGCACAGAGGAAGCAAAGTTGAGAGCAAAACTAAGGCAGCTTCCTGACAACATTGTTAGATCATCTGGATCAAGACATACCTGAAGGCAAATGCCCCTAAACTAACTGTACAGAAATCAGTAATTCATTTTGTGCCTATGTATAATTCTGTAAGCTACAGTTCAGGGTAGACATTCACTACCCTTAAGTTCCTGTAAATTTGAATTAAGTAGAAAATGAGGAGATGAGAAGAAAGCCTCTTTTTATAGCTGTGGTTTATGGGATAATATTATTGCCTGCTTCCAAAATAAGTGAAAGAAATAGATAGACTATTTGTGAACACCTCTGAATAAGAAAAAAAAAATTGTACCTTATTATCATTAAAAAAGAATATGGAATCTGGGTAGTCAGCATTATACATTTCTGTTGTTAGACCACTCAAGCCTGGCAATTTCATTTTAGAAGATCAATTGTGCTCCACTATTACTCCTGGGCTACAACTTGGTCAATTTTTACTTTAAAGGGCATTTTATGGCAAAGATCCAAACCCTCTCACAGCAAAAGCTGAATGCTAATGGAATTGTTGTGATTTAAAACTGTGAAACACAACCTGTTTTTCAATGGAGGAAATAAGAACCATAACCACAAATATTTCCAGTTTCTTAACTCAACCTTGAAGGATATTTTTGCATTTTTAATCATTATTTAATGATGAGAGATATTGTAAAAGAATATTGGGTAGTGTCAGAGTATCTGATTAGGAGACTTGAGTTCAAGTTTTGGTGATGATACTTAATTAGCTGGGTAACCTGAATGCAAATATTAGATTGTAACATGATATTAAATGAGATGATGCTTGTGAAATGTTTTCTCTTGGGTCTGGAACATAGAAAGTCTTTAGTAAAGGCTGCTATGTATATTCTTGTTATTGGCAATAATGCTAGGAAAAATAATATTACTAGTAGTAGAATATTAACTTTGGTTTCAGTGATGAGGAATATTTGCATTCATTATATTTTCTTCTTTTTTGCTTCTTTCC